ATTACTGTAATCAGAAACAAGATATTTCAGGAAAAATAAAAATTTGTTGATGCATACTGCAATCAGAAGCAAGAAAGAAAAAACAGATGTACATAAGAAGATTCTATGCTTTTTTTATATATTTTATCTATGCATTGTTGATCATAACTATAATGCCTACATTAGAATCTATTATTCCTAATAAAATACCCTATTACTAAATAAGGTCTAAATTAGATAACACAAGTCCTATAAGGGAGTAGGCTCCTATGTCAGCTTAAACTGACTCTTTTTTAGTAAAGTAGCGAAGAAGAATATTGCGAGCACCATTAATATTCCTATCGAGTTCTGTTTTATATTTAGGACAACAAAATACTTTAGATCCACCCAGCTTGTGGTTGACGTAACCACAGAATCCACAAGTTTTACTTGTAATTCTTTTGTACAAATAATTGTTCGACACCATGGATACTCACGTGCTTTATAGTCCAGATGTTGCCAAAAATGAAAATGTGACCACATACACATAGCTCGAGCTGTCTTAGAACCAATACGTGTTGCCCACATCTGATCATTCTTTGAGTATGAAATTCTGGTAATATTATTATATGATAATTTTTGCAAAGCCATTTAGTCAATTTATAATGATATTCACAAAATAGACAATAGATTCTCTTGTGAATATGCAACATAACATGTCGTAGTCTATAATTAAAATAAAAAATAATCAGTCAAAATTATGAATAATATAAATCTATAAATCTATTATTAAAACTAACCTGTAACATTTACGTTTGTTCTCTTTTCCATGAATCATATCTCATTTACTTTGAAGTTTGTCATATATATAACAAAGTCGATAAATCTGATTGATATCATTTTTTCACCATTCAATAGCCATTCTACTTAAATCATAACTGATTATAAAAGTATGTACACCTGGATCTAGTGCAATTACTCCCGATCCACCCTTTTTTAATAGTAGTTAATATATATAAATAATCTAAAAAAAGTAAAAAATAAAAAAATTAATTCAATCCTTTTCTTGATTTTCTGAAAATAAAGGACCTTGGTTCTCAGCCCGTATTTCAAGTGGCTCAGGTATACAAAAATAAAATTCACCAAAACGGTTTATAACAAGGCAACTATTATAATCAAGTTTTTTTGGAAGAGATTCTGCTAAGTGCATTTTATGAAGAAATGAGAATTCGCCACTAGATTTACCCCAATGTTTAGAAAGTATTGCAATTGATTGTTGTGGATCTTTTGTAGAACAGAACTTCATTTTAAAGTTTTTACATTTTGCAGCAAAATTAGACATATATCCTTTAGGCAACGCAAAGTTGATTTTTCATTTTACATTACATGGTATTCAAAATGTTGGGCAGGTGGCAGATTTTTTATTTTTTTTTTTAGTTTATTGTAAATTAATAGACTTACGTTCATATCTAAGACCATGCAAAGTTAATTTTTCATTTCACGTAATATGAAATCAGAAAATTTGGTTAGCGATCAATTTTTTATCTGTCGATCCTATCAAATAATTTCAGTCTCTATCAGAAAAACCCGAAACCTTTTATTGAAAAAATTAAATAGCAAAAATAGAATAATTAACACAATTGGGGTTTCAAAAAAAAAAAAAAAATTTGAAAAATTGAAAAAATCGGTTGGTGGGTAATGCAAACCGAAAAATTAACTTTGCGTAGCTTTAAGTAAATAATTCATCACTTCATCTCGAATATTATAAGGCGTATCTAAAATCTACATAAGTTCTGGTTTATTCTTAAAGTTTACAGTGTTAAGACATCAAGCCCGTAAATCCTTCTTTTTTTGTTCGACACCTTCTTTTTTAACCGTGATAAGGCATTGATTGTATATTCACTGAGCTGTTTGTATCTATTTTCTGAGTTTCAATCGGTCATCCTTATTGAGAAAAAGGCAAATACGTCATACCTTGCTTGCTGGAAGTTTCATTACTACCTTCTTGGAACTTTTGATTCGCTTGGGTGGTCTCTTTTCTTCTTTTGTGATTGGCAGCATAGCATAATCTATTATGTCACACCACAAACACTATAACGATTGAAAGTAAGTCTTCTGTGAGTTCTCCAGTTTTGTTATCATTGGCACAAATATCTAAACTAAATACCACAAGCTGTGTTCCATTTTTTTTAAAAATTCACTTCACAAGTTCAGATCCAAAATGACACAATCAGTCTTTTCAGGTAACCACCACTTCTTGGTCAAAAAATTAAAATATAAACATATGAAATTAATTTATATGTACCTAATAGATTGATTGTATCTCGATCTCTTAAATGAGCCTCTATTATTCATTTGATATATTTATTAATTTAAACTAATATTTCAATTCAAAACAAATATATATTACCTGAACTGCTATTGCTTTCAACATGTTCAGAAGTTTTATTATCTGATCTATTTAAACCCACTATTTATGCAATAAATATATTATAAATAAAAAAGTTAGTACAAAGTTGTTTAAAAAATATAAGAGTAAATTTGCATATACTTGATTGATTCAATCTTCTTTTGCTTATGTTTCTTAAACTAGTTTCTAAATCTATAACTTTCTGTCTTAATAAAACGATCTGATTATTGAGTTCGAATTCAGTAAAATCTTTTGAATTAAGATCTTCTTTATGTTGTCCTTCGAGTTCTCTAATTCTATTTTCAGCAAATTCTTTTTTACGTAACGCATCATTATCCTATATAAAATATGCCAACTATAAGAATCTATTATAATACGGTATTTTTTTTTCAGAATATTAAAAATTACTCTTATTACAATTTCACTTCTTTCAGTGCTTAATTCTTTACTAGTTTTTCTTGATATACTAAGTTCTTCTTCTAATATTTTGGTCT